TTCAATGAATGATATAAAAAGTATCCGTCAAGTTAATACTCTCAGTCAATTTTACTCAGTAATTAAATCGATTTTTTTTGTCTGTTGTCATAATATATCAGTTAGATTTTTATAATATCAGCAATATACCAATATATAGGTGACTCAGTGATCCATAGGTTAAGCATTCACTCTCGAGATCGAATGTCCGTGGTATAACTTTTCGCTTGAACGGTTGCGAGTGTGTACTACTGCCCAGTCACCGACTGCCTCAATGAGCAATATTTTGTAGTGTAGGAGTAGGTTGGGAGAAAGCTAGGGGCGGCCAAATCAAAATATCGCGAAAATCCATGAAGTCAATGACAGCTGGATTGAGTCATGTTGGTAAATGTAGGCTAACTGGTTGTGGCCCGCCAGATGATAGTAACCGATGGTTAGAGACCTTGAACGACATGGCTCAAAATCGTTTGTAATGGTGCAGGTGCATTCATTCTTTGTGTTCCTTCAAATTGCAATCTTTTGAGTTATTTCATCACCTCCGTCTTCCTCTTAACAAATTTATTTCACTGAATTATACTTATTGAATAATATCTTCGAACCGTAATCTTCTCGATTACTGCTAATACTTCTACTACCTCTACTATTATGGTATTTGAATTGACAATTGCATCTCTGTGCTAATGTGGTATGGCAACCTGAACTTATGCAAATAAAAAGTGACTTAGAAGTGCCATATCATAGAATTTTAAAAAATATCCAATATTATCTGGTGGTGATATCAATAAATGATAGATACTACATGACAGAATTGACTTCTCCTGGAGCACTTCTAGAGTAACTGCCAGTTCGAATCCAGGATAATGGAGGAGGGTTGGGCATGGAGGTAGCGAACCCATTCCGTAGAAGTCCAACTTAGTCAGTCAGTCAGTCAGTCAGTCACTCATTTACAACGTAGAACATCACACGTACATACTTCAGTTCAAGTTGCCATACTACATTAGCAGACAGACGCAATTGTCGATTCAAATCCCATTGTGGTAGAGATAGTAAGAGTATAAACAGTCACCCGAGAGATGAGGGTTGTAAGATATTATTCAAGAAGTATAATCCAGTGAAAAAGATTTGAGACGAGAAAAATGAAGGTCATGATGAGTTTATATTAGAATTTGCGAGAACACAAAGAATGGATGCATCTGCACCATGGCAAACAGTTTTGAACCATGTCATCTCGCGGACCCCAACCAAGTAGTCTACACCTGCTAACATGGTTCAGCCTACTTGTCAGTGACTTCACGGATTTCTGCCATGTTTTGGTCAGGTCGTTCCTAGCTTTCTCACAATCTACTCTTGCGTCGCAAAAAATAGGTTGCCGAGGCAGTCGATGATTAGGCATACGTAACACATGTCCCAGCCACCTCAACTGATGCAGTTTCAATACTTTATCTACTGATCTGCCATCCATATCCAGTAACGACAGCACTGCTTACTTTATAGTCCCAAGTGTTGGGGATGTTAGATCCCCAAAATTCGCTTGATAAATGCCTTATTTTGGTTTTTACGTTTGCGAGCATGGGCTGATCAGTTGACCTTGAGATTTCATTTCCCACCAGGAAAATCCATGGCTGTGATTGGCTGCTGTGTATTTTAGTGTGCTATTTTCGTAACTGTCCCAAGGAGGTTTCTATGATGTATAAATAAACGAGAGTTGTATGCTTGATTGTACTGTGACTGCTGGATGTTTGTAGAATATACTTTCTACGCTTACAAGCCATTTTACTCTATTCGGGGATTCAAGGTAACCTACCTGGACGCTGGTAAAAGTCTCGTTCGCGTTTATCGACTAAGGTAAACTCGTAATAGCCTCAAGCATACTTAGTGACGAGCGTAACACCAAGATAAACGAGCAATGCTTCCGAGACATCGATGATCGCAAACCAACAACCTACGAATATCTTCTACTCTGGCTGACCATCTAACTCGGTAAAAATAGAATGCAAACAAGCAATAAAATAATTTGCTGGTCAGTTGGCCTTTGCTTCTCCATTTGGGGGTAACAAGTGTAAGTAAGTAAGTACGTAAGTAAGTCAGTTCATTAAAAAATTCACTTACTCAAATTTTCATGTAACATCACAGTTGTACTATTCGCTGAACTTGGTCCAGTACTTGGTGAATGAATTGATGATGTTATAGATACTGATGATGAGGCTGATGATGATGATGATGGCGCTGATGACAATGATGTTGTTGTTAGCGTTGCACATAAACATACAGGTATCGATTGTGAAATAGTAGGAGGAGGCGGAGGCGGAGGCGGAGAAGACGAACACAATGGAAGTTCTAATTTACAATAAACATATGGATTAGTTGTATGATTCACATTATTATTATTATTATCTGCCATGCAATCATGATTGATTTGATTCACTGTATTAGAAAAGATTGTATTGGTTATTAGTGTTGTTGGTGTTGTAGTTGTAGTGTTGTTAGTTCTACTATTCATATTGTCCACCGTATGATTTAATGCTGATGACGAAGATTGTAATAAATCCATTGAATGGTGATCTGTTGATGTGAATGTCGATGGTGATGCTGATGCTGTTCTTGTTGTTGTGGTTGGTGTTATTGTTCGATCCGAATTGATCAATGAATCATGATAACCACTATCGTTATGTTGTGTATCGGAATAAGTGAATGAATTATTCAGGGAGTGTGGATGAGCAGTCTCCTCTAGTTCAATACTACTATTCGCAGTTATATTATTAGTAGTATTGTTTACATTGGAAATTAATAGATTATTTTCAGTTTTTATTAAATTATTTGTTAAAATAGTCGGTGAATTACTTGGAACTACAGAAAAATCTAGAGAAAAAAAAGAGAAACAGGGAAGAATCATGAATATATACATACATGTATATGTATAAAAAATGTAATGAGATGGAAACTTGGAGAACTACAAAAGATATACAAGTATTCATTGACAGCTGCCTACACAAAATACTTTGGATCCGTTGACTAGACACTGTTAGCAATAAACTAATGTGGGAAGGAACAAACAAGATTCCTGGGGAGGAAGGAATCTCGAAGAAGCAATGGAAGTGGATGGGACACATACTACGAAAAGCACCCAACTGCATCACAAGAAAAGCCCTCAATTGGAATCCTCAAAGTCAAAGGAAAAGAAGAAGGTCAAGGAATACATTACGCTGAGAAATGGACACCGACATGTGGAGAATGAATAAAAATTGGACAGAACTGGAAATTGAGGCCCAGGACAGACTAGGTTGGAGAATACTGGTGGGTGGCCTATGCTCCTGAGGTTGGACGTACCACCCACGTTCCGTGAGTTTCCTAATAACCGCGATAAAGCTTAAAATATATGGAGCCAACATATTTCACCAGTGACTAGCTTCATAATGTAGTTCTGGAGTTCTAGTGAGAGGTTGTGATCACTAGAGTCTAATCTTTGTCGGGTAGGAGCTGGTCAACAACCACCACATGAGATGGATGAAGGTTACTGAACATCATGTATTGATCTAAGTTAGATATAAACACCGGTGGATACCGATTTAGTTGTCTGGTGGTTAAGAGTTTGCGCATGTGACTGAAGGTCTTAGGTTTTATTCCTGAATGAGAGGGTCGTGCATGTGCACTGTCACTGAGCAGTCCTATATTACGACATAACAGTCGTTCAGTGCTTTTAGATTTCAATCCCCTTCTTTAATTACTTAGAAAAAGGCCTCAAACAAGCATCATTTTTGTTACTGAAGTCAAATTCGCAGTTCGTAACAATCATTACTAACACGATGTTCTTTTCAGTCAACTCAAGAAAAAGTATCCGCCTACGGCGTAGACAGCTTGGCATTGACAACCATCTAAGTATCTCTAACATGACTCGACACTGGTACATTATTGCAACTAAGATTATGTAGCTGAAATTCGATAAATAGTTTATTGTAAATAGACTTTCATAATTATTTATCAATAAAAAATCAATCATTATTCTATCATCTATGATAACATACTAAAGTGAAGAGTGTGTGTTATTTTTTATTTCAAAGAAAGCATAACCAATTTCCAAGAAGAACAGATTGTTTTTTTGCAAAACTCGTAAGATATATGAAGTCCATATTGGAACAAGCAACTTTCTGAATTTGTTTAATTTCGTTTAGTTAGATAGGCGCTCAAATTTCTTAGATTCTATCCGTTGTACAGACAGTCAGTCAGTCAGTCAGTTACAACGCAGAACTTCGTACATGCGTACTCGTAACAGCACACGAAACTAAATCAGTCATAATTAAATCCTTCCTACAACCCCCCCACGCTCACCAACATCTCTCTCTTATCTCCACAACTCATCCTTCTCTCAACCGTATATCACACCTTGTACCGGTAATGCAAACGATTCCAGCTCACAAAACGCTATTCTTGGTCTCTTATGCATCGTTATACAGAAATGAACAATAACTATTTTTTTTTCAAAAAGTGGTAGAAATATAATACGAATCAATCAATTTACCAAATTTACTAAATACTGGATATTTATCAGTTTTAGTCGGAATTATTATATTATTCTTCTCGACTATTGGCAATTCATCATCAAAACGATCATTTCCATTAGATTTATGATTATGCTGTCGTCGTCTTCTTGGAATGATACTTGAACTAGTTACACCGAATGTATGATTTGATTGAATAAAATCAAATGGAATGTGTTGTGGAGATGGTGGTACAGATGATATAGATTTTCTGTTGTTACTATTATTGTGATTATTATTATTATTATTTGGTACAAGGATAGAATCCGGTGAATAAGTAGTCAACAATGTAGTCTGATTACGTAATGACACTGATGATGTTGATGATGGTGAGTAACAAGTAGGAGTGGTTTGCTCATGTTCTAACTGAGATGATGATGATGGTTGCATTTCATTCAACGGTATTATTACCGTTGTGGTTGTCGTCGTCGTCGAGGTTGTCTTTACTACTGGTGTTGATGATGATGTGGTTGTGTTTCGACAAGATAATGCATTGTCCTTGTTATTTTTCTGTATGATAAATTGATTAGCCCAACCAGCGACTGGTGGACCGGGTGGAGGGAATTTAAATCGACTACTACCACCACTATGACTATGACTATGAGTATTATCAGGTGAAAATATTCTAGAATTTCTATTCGATGCATAATATTGACTTGATGGTGATGTCAACTGTTGATTATTGCCTAAACTTAAATCTTCACCAATCGATGAGGATTGATTGAATTCTTCATGAATTGTCGGTGTAGTGAATATTGCTGCAGGTTTTGACATTTTGTACTGGCTATCATCTACATCATAAAAGCCACCATATTGATGATGATTGAATGAATTCGATGAAATGAAACCATTGAATACAGCGGTTTGTAAACTATATAAAAAATAATCATTATCAAATGATGATTCGATTGTATTGAAATTCTAAAAAGAATCAATGAAAAGCAGAGAAAAAAAATAGAAATTATTATTATTATTGCTACTAATAAACGTAAGCAAAAGGAATGATCACGTGATTATTATTATTATTCTGGTTTGAGATGATTGATCGATTTGGTGAGTTCAATTCACCATAGCATACTCGGTTGTGCGCACAAAACGGGTTCACCTTAGTCGATGAACGCAAACGAGAAATCTTGGTATAGCGTGGAAAGTATATTCTACAAACATTCAGCAAGTACCATACAGTCAAGCACACAACTCTCGTTTATTTTGACATCATAGAAACTTTCCTTGGGACAGTTACGAAAATAGCACACTAAAATACACAGCAGCCAATCACAGCCATGGATTTTCCTGGTGGGAAATGAAATCTCAAGGTAGACTGATCAGCCCATACTCGCAAACGTGAAATTCAAAATAAGGCATTTATCAAGAGAGTTCTGGGGATATAACGTCTCCAACAGTAATAAGTGGTCGAAGATATTAGTCAGTCAGTTACAACGTAGAAATTGGTGCGTACGTACATTAATTCAAGTTGCCATATCACTAATTCACAGAGGGATTAAATTGTCAGTTCAAATCTCATAGTAGTGTAGAGGTAGCAGAAGTTTTGAGAGTGATAGAGAAGATTAGCGTTTGAAGATATGATTCAAGAAATATAATCTAGTGAAATAAATTTAAAAAGTGAAAGTGTCATGTGGAACTCAAAAGATTAACATTCAAGAGAAAACAAAGAATGGATGCATCTGCAAATGATTTTGAGGTAGGTCATTGAAAGTCTCTGACCGCCGTTTACGATTGTCCTGCGGACACTAATTCCTCACCTACTAACATGGTCAGTCTAGTTGTAAATAACTTCATGTCTGAAGATAAATCAACGGAATCCTCACTTAATCTGCGTCATGTACCTTGTTATTTGCTCGTAGGGTTTACTTGTATTGATGAGTGGAATGATGCATCTTAGTGAATTCGAACTCGCATTACCGAGTTTTATAGTCTATCAAGTCATTATTAGGCTATCTATGCCACGAGATATTTACCACTCGGTTCGAATCCTAGAAGAAGGATTAGTTCTGTTTAAATAAGATGTACGCTTAGTTAACAACTAGCAGCTTGCGCAAAGCCTAGATCAAAAACTCTACCTGTTGACTGCTTTCAAATACAAGATGACGGAAAACTGTTGTTGATCAGATGAATGTTTATGGTGGAATCCGGTTCTCTGAACTGTGCGCTTTTATCATAAAAGCTTCTTTCTTCTTCTGAACAATATTATCAGTATAAATTTCTGATTGAAGTGAATTTTCCCACCTTCAATTACTATATATATATATATATATATATATATATATATATATATATATATTGTGGAGACATAAACATCTCGAGCAAAGCGCGGTATACAATGGAGAGCCAGGATGCAGCTGGAGATTGGGCTTCACAAGTGATGTGGCTATTTTATCGCACACGCAACAACAAGTGCAAGAGAAGACGACCAATATAGCAGCAGCTTCAGCAGCAGAAGGTCTCAACATACACAAAGGGAAAAGCAAGTCTCCGAAACAACACTACATCTGCAAATCAAATCACTCTTGATGGAGATGCCTTGGAGGACGTTAACACCTTTACATATCTGGGCAACGTCATTGATCAGCAAGGTGGATCTGATGCAAATGTGAGTGCGCCGATCGCCGAGGTAAGGACAGCATTTCTATAAGTGAACAACATCTGTAACTCGAAACGACAATCAACAAACACCAAAGTCACAATTTTCAATACAAATGTCCAGACAGTTCTATTGTATGGGGCTGAAACTAAGAGAAACACGAAAGCCATCATCCAGAAGATACAAGTATTTATTAACAGTTGTCTACGCAAAATACTTCGGATTCGTTGACCAGGCACCATCAATAACAATTTACTGTGGGATAGGACAAACCAGATTCCAGTGGAGGAGGAAATCAGGAAGAAGCGGTGGGAGTGGATAGGACAGACACTACGGAAAGCACCAAAATGCGTTACTGGACAAACCCTCACTTGGAACCCTCAAAGTCAAAGGAAAAGACGTAGGTCAAGGAACGCATTACACTGAGAAACGTAGACCGAGATGGGAAGAATGAACGAAAATCGGTAAGAACTGGAAAGGGAAGCCTAGGACAGAGTAGGTTGGAGAATATTGGTCAGTGGCCTATGCTCCATTGGAGAGTAACAGGCGTAAACATGTGAAGTAAGTATATATGTACATACAACATACAAGTTCAGAGCATTCAACAACGACGTCTAAACTACTAATGAATAAAGAAGTTGATAGTAGTAGTATTTTATACTAACTCGTCAAATGATGCCTTTTTATTGATAAAATAATTAATTATTGTAAGAAATCAATTCTTTTTCTCACTCCATTAGCTGTTCAATAATGATGATCATCAGTAGGTAAAGCGTTTTATCATAGATGAAATTTTTTTGAACACAACAAACTTATAATGTTGATAATAAAGAAAACAACAATTGGAATTTAAAGAATTTACAGTAAAATTAGTCATGCCGTTTTTATTATTATTATTATTATTATTATTATTATTATTATTATTATTATCTAAACTACTAATGTTAATGTTTATTGCTCTGTGTTTTCGTTTTGTTGTGTTTGGTTTTACTAAGAAGAATGTAAAAACAATAATAATAATAAATAATAAGCAGCAGCAGATATTAATAAACTGATAATTAGTTATGTCTGTAGCTCAAAAGATTTGATTTACGACTGCGATTTATAAACTGTATATGTGTGTGTATATATATTTATATACAGCTTTAAGTAAAAAGAGCAGTGTCTTTGCAAACAAATGATTAGTATGGCAATTTAATCGATAAAAAAACATTTGATCAACACAATAAGTATAGACAGGTAATGAGGTATTGTAAATATTTTAATTCTACACAGGATCATTGACGTGTAGAGTAGAGAGCTCAGCGATAACACCTCCGACTATGAAGTTGAACAACATTTGTTAGAATACTACGAAGGTTGTTATGTTGACAAAAGCTAACTAGTATGGAACCTTGATTGATTGAGATTACACACTAACAATGTTGGATGTCAGCTCAACGGTCAACAGTTTAGGCGTCCGCGTGCGAGACTTAAAGCTTTTGAGTTGAATGCTCGCTCGCGTGTCCATGGTGATGCATATTGGTTGTAAGTTTCATACTAGGCAGAATCAGCCATCTCGTGCTTTCAGGTTTCCAATACTGGTCTAACACTGATCAATTTATGATTCCATTCAAGGATTAATTTCATTTACCTAACATTAGGATTTAAATGATACTATGGGTAATGTTTTACTGTATTTTGGGACTTATTTTAAAATCTTCACAGATAAATGAATCTACAAATCTAGACTGCTCTAAAAGAAATCTAGAGTTTGTAAACTTAGATCATTTGAACGTCGAGTGGCATTTTGTAGAATCTCTTTGAGAATTATTGACATACATGTATAACTAGACAGTGATTATGAAATAAACATTGACCAATAAGTATTTTTATGTAAATATTTAGTTTTATATTAGAGATATGGAGATTAGTGTTTTTACACATTCGAAATCATCAACCAATCATTGTTAGACTACCATTAGAAACCTGGAACCACTGGACGGCCGTTTTGTCCTGGTATGGGACTCTTCAGCGGCGCGCATCCACGACTCCTGCACCTCTCAGGATCCGAACCCGGGAGTTTCAGTATTGTGCCCGAATGCCTAACCTTTGGACCACTGGGTCGACGTCTACGGTGTTAATGTCTAACTGAGCGAGTTCAACTCTGTCGGGTGTAGGCAGTAACTACCAAAGGTGAGGTCGCGCTAAATCCCTAGATCAATTAGAGTTAGGCGTTAACAGCGCATTCGGGCACAATACTGAAACTCCCAGGTTTGGATCCTGAGAGGTGCAGGAGTCGTGGATGCGCGCCGCTGAAGAGTCCCATACCAAGACGAAACGGCCGTCCAGTGGTTCCAGGTTTCTAATGGTGGTCTAACAATGATTGATTGGTGAGTTCAAATGTGTAAATATTTATTGTCAAGTTGGGATAACGAACGTTAACCATTTCAACAAATAAACTATATCAAGTGAATCCATATGCTGGTAAATTACGTGAATTATTTCTCATTGAAATCCATTTGATAAGCTGAAACAATTATCATAGTTTAAATTACTAATAAGAAAACTATTGGGAACACTTGTAAGTTCTGGACAATCGTTAGCGGATGTAGATTACCTGGTGGAGGTCCGCAAGACAATAGTAACCGATGGTTCGAGACTTTAAATGACATGGTTAAAAACTGTTTGCAATCGCACAGGGTGCATCCAATGCTTGTTTGATCTCAGGACCTTTTCTTATCTCTTTTAAAATATATTTCATTGGAGATTATACTTCTTGAATGGTATCTTCGAATCCTAATCTCTCCGATTACTGCTAACACTTCTATTACCTCTAATACAATGAGATATGAATTGACCATTCGATCTCTGTGCTTATGTGGTATGGCAACTCGAATTGATGTACATGCGTACGAAGTTCTACGTTGTCCCTAACTGAATAACTGAACAACCGTTTTTTCTTGGTAAAGAACTCTTTTCAACATTATAACACCCATGACTACACATCCATTAGTTGAACCACGGATCTCCAACCGTTACGTCTAACTTCTGCCTTACTCCTTGAATGATTGAATTCCACTAGTTCGACCTTGTCGTTACAGCCTCACGAATTATCTCTTGAAATCAGTCACTTATAAACACATTATTATCTTGATTACACAAAAAACTACACCCCACCGTTAGTGGGACATAGATGGAATAAAGCATGACTGCGTCAGCTGCGCGCCGATTGGCTAATTTCCTATCCAATCAGCACCTGATCGATTCTTGGAGAACAGGGTAGAAAATCCTCGTACTGTTAGCTGCATGCTGAATGGCTAAATCTAATCCAGTCGATCACGTGAATTTCTATCCAGAAGCTTCTCATGAAAATACTATAAAGAAACTAACGTTGTATCTATTTTTGCCTTCGCCTTTGGGTTCTTATTCAATTTAACCTTGCTATTTGGAATATAATCTTTTCCTGTTCAACCGTGTTTTTGATTCTTTGTAACCTGTCCAGTGTATTGTGTGGTCGGAGAATACTAAGCAATAGGAATTAGCTGGGAATTATTCAAGGAAACGTTACAATACCCCAACAAACTACTTACTAAATTATCCGATAGAATAGTTGGATTATGATAACTTTCTGATTCATAAACTTCACTAATTGGTAAAGGATTTAATTGACCATCATTATTATGATGATGATGATAATTATGATTACGTTTATGATTACTATGATGAGTAGCGCTTTCTTTCAATTTATTAATTTTTTTTGTTGTCAATTGTGAAAGACGTTGTTTATTCTTTAAACCAAATGCATTTAAATGTGAAATCAATGCAATCGATTTCAATCGTGAATGATGTTGTGATGAGAGATGATGATCATTTGACAATTGTAATTCGCCATAATCATTCACAGCTGATTGCAATGGATGTACAAAAAATGCTTGACATGGTGGTTCATTTGTTGTTAGTGTTGTTGTTGGTGATAATGTTGTTGTTTTTGTTGTTGTCGGTTGATGATAAGATTGAAAATTGAATGCCGTTCCACTGAACATCGATGGAGAATTGAAATCATGATGATGATGATCAGTCCAATCTGTTAAGAAAAATAATTGAAAAAAAGGCGAATTAACAATTTAGTAACAGATAATCATGATAATTAAAACACATACATTTATGCAAGAAAAAAAACATGCGAAACAAAGTAACTGCTGATGAGCCTCAGGCTAGGCCGTCTAGTAGTACTTCCAGGTTTCTAATGGTAGTCGAACATGGATCGACTGATGATTTCAAAAAGTCCCGCAACAATCTCCATAACCCCATAATGTAAATAACCTGACTCAATAGTGATTAGCTCCATCGCTAGTCTCCGAGTTCTGGTGAGAAGTCGTGACCAGTGCAGTTCAACCCTGTGCGATTGTAAAGCACTGCTCACTGAAGACAGTGTATGAGGCTGTGCAAGACCTTACATTAATCGAGGTTAGACATTGATACCGTTAGATACCGGCTTAGTATTATCAACCTTATATTATTTAAGATTCAGCACAAGATCGTGTCATTCAGTTCAAAATCGTTATATATGAATATAGTATTGAAATGAATGTATTATAATTCACTCCTTGAACTAATTTCTATTAAAAAAAACCCACTACTAGTCAGTTGTTTCATCTTCGTATGACACTTCTTAGTGGTGAGCGTGAAAGGCCTCACTGGGGATAGAATCAATTTAGTCATCCGTGTGAGCAAATAATTTATAGACCAATGAGTCAGTATCACGTGCTTTTGCAAATTTCAAACTGGGATAAAAAAATACATAATGTTTTCTGGTTTTCAATGGTTATGTAACTAACGTTATTTCATGATGTAATCTATAATTTGTCGGGTATAAGCAGTTTCCTACCGAAGTCAATGGATGACGTTGCTCAAAACCTTAGATTGATCAGAGTTAGATGTTAACACCGCTAGATGCCGGCTCAGCGGTCTGGGGGCTAAGCATTTGCGTGTGAGACCGAAGGTCCTGGGTTCGATTCCATAAAGTAACAGGAGTCGTGGATGCGCACTGCTGATGAGTCCCATAGTAGGCTTTTAATCTTAGTCTAACGATGAAATTTACAGTGAACAAATCAAAATCTCATAGTAGCGATGATAGCCAAAAAACTTGAAATTGAGAAAAATTGTTTAGAAAGACAATGAAGAGGTAAGTATTATTAAAGGGAAACAGGGACTGGGTGAGTGCTTGTATTCCATTATGATTACTTATGAGGTATGTCAATCGACAAACAGACAAATGTCTTTATCCACTAACTAGCACAACTAGTTAGTCTACACTAAATGACAATTCAGACCAACCGTCAGTAATGTCATGGAATTATGTTATGTCTTGATGTAATCATCCTAAGCTTTCCTACAACTTACTCTTGTACCAGTTAATGTTGGCCATCCGAGCACGTGGTGGTCTGGCTTATGTAACACAAATAATGACAGTTTATAGCGTTATCACTCAATATGCCATCCATCTTCGCCTAATATTCCATGACTAAACACAAGATTTCTCAATCGAGAAATGTTTTGACGACTACGATGATCCTTGTATTCATAAACTTTGTCACATAACCATACAGACAGCTGTTCAGTATACTCCTCATTCGTTAATTATCAGATGAACATTTCACTTAGGTTATAAGTGACAGAAAAATTAGCAAAAGCCATGCAAGCCTTATGAATCGATGTTAAGAATGCTTTAGACATTCAAACTCATTACACAGATGATCAAACGTCTAAGGATAGTGAAGTAATCAACTCACTCAACTTATTCACACTGTTTTTTAATGATAAATTGTAACAATACAACAGATTTCAATCACCAGTCAACAGTGACATAGAACTTCGTACGTACGTACATCAGTTCATGTTGTCATATCGCATTAGCACAGAGGTGTAATTGTCAATTCAAATCCAATAGTAGTAGAGGTAGTCAAGGTATTGGCAGTAGTCGGAGAGGTTAGGATTAGAAGATATTATTCAAGAAGTAGCATCTAGTGAAATGGACTTAAAAAGATAAAGAAAAAGTGATGAAGAATTGTAAAAGTTTAGGATTTGAGAGAGGACAAAGAATGAATGCAACTGCGACACCTACCGATATGACTCAGTCCACTTGTCAGTGACTTCATGGATTGCTGCCATGTTTTCCTCTGACTGCCCTTAGCTTTCGTCCAACCTATTCTTACACCGCGAAATATAGCTCGACGAGGCAATCTGTGGTTAGGCATTCGTAACACAGGTCCCAACCACCTCAACTGATGAAGTTTCAATACTTCATCTATTGCTCTGCCATCCTTACCTACCACCCGTTTCCTAATAGCAGCGTTGCTTACTTGGTTGCCCCAGGATATACGAGCAATGCTTCTAAGACAAACTATGATCGATAACCAGTAACCTACGAATATCTCTTACTCTTACTCTGTTGTACGTTACCCGTAACATACAACAGATATAGTTAATCAAAATAGAATAAATTTCATTTTGTCGAGAAATTTGTCTAATTTTTGTTTTTTTTTTAAAAAAAAAGAACAAAACTGAACAATTTTATGTTAATTAACTTGAAAAAGTGAAAATTTTAATTTTGTTTTTTAAAAAAAAGAAAACAATCACAAAAAAGGAAAAAAAATAAACCAAACTAGAATTAGAATGAAAATATTATGATGTTTTGTTGAAAATAAATAAAGTGTGCTAAAATTAAACAGTTATGAATTTACTCATGAATCAATATGAAATTGTAGAATACACTAATTGGGCTAGTTGTGTATAATCAATGTAGTAGTAGGAGAAGAAGCAAGGGGGAGCAGTAGTAGTAGTAGACAAGATATTCGTATGCTAACCAAAGGACGAGAGTGTACTGCGCAGCGGTTCACTCTGACCTACTATATGGATGCGAAACATGGTCATTCACAGTCGAAGATATTTGTAGATTACTGGTTTTCGATCATCCGCAGCATTGCTCGTTTATCATGGGATTATAGAGTAAGCAATGCTGTTGTTAGGAAACGTGTACTAGGAAAGGATGGCAAATCTATTGACAAGGCATTGAAGCTTTAAGAGTTGAGGTGGTTGGGATATGTGTTACGAATTCCCGATCTCCAAATGACTCAAAGAGCGATGATTGTAGGGTAGGAGTAGGTTGTAAGAAACCTCGTGGCGGCCAAACAAGAACATGGCACAAATCCTTGAAGCCACTGACGACTGGGGATTCACTCATGGTGGTAAGCATAGACTAACTGGTTGGGGATCGCTAGATGATAGTAATCGATGCTTAGAGACATGGTTCAAACCTGTTTGTAATGGCACAGGTGCATCCTTTGCTTGTGTTCTCTCAAATCCTAATTGAATACAATTAAACCGATGGGTAAAAATTGCTATATTTATGCTTGTAGACTATATTATAGTCGAAACTGAATAAGATAAATTGGAATGAATTTAGTTATGTCAAAACCAAATGAAATGTGAGTGTTAAAAAGCCATTAAACCATGACATTAATAAATCGTTGACTTCAGGTAAAAAATAAAACAACTTGTACAAACAGCGCAATGCAATACGTACATTTATGAAACTAGCTTGGATGTGCGAGTAGAAAGAAGTCTTCCATTAGAAAAGTGGTTCCGATAAAAATCAAGTATTATGCTCAGTGATACCGTTGTATTTCATAGTTTACATCACAGAGTGCCTTTATTCAGACAACCATTGATAAGCACAAAAGCATTGGAAGACTGTTTCACTGTAGTGTAGAACTCCTAGGCGTTGTGCATCCACAATCACCTTACTGGATGAAACCATCACCATTGGAGTTTTGTATTCAACGCTTAGCAGTTAAAAACCACTGACATAGACAGACAGATACAATACAGAACTTCGTACGTAAGTACATCAGTTCAGGTTGTCATACCGCATTAGAACAGAGACGCTAATCTCAGTTCAAATCACACAGTGGTAGCGATAGTACAAGTATTAGCAGTAATGGAGAAGATTAAAGTTCGAAGATATGATTGCAGAAGTATAATTCAGTGAGATATATTCAGAAAGAGAAAGATAAAGGTGATGAAGAATTCAGAAAATTAGAATTTCAGAGAACCCAAAGCGTGAATGCACTTGTGCCATTACAAACGATTTTGAGCTTGGTCGTTCAAAATCTCTAACCATCGATTAATATCATCTCGCTGACCCCAACCAGGTAGCGCCTGTAAAACCACTGAGCCCGGAATCAATGTCTTATGGTCCAAATGTGAATAAGTACTTGTGAAAAGTTCCATACAGTAAGACAAACATAACATAGCAGTGATCCCTAATTGCCAAAATTTTCCTAAGCTCAATCAGTAATGCAATCTATACAATATTTTATACAATCCACAAAAACATTGTATCAGTTATACAGTTCTTATAATTAAAGAGGCCTGTTTACAAAATGGCTCACATTAGTTAATAATAAGAATGGAATGTGAACATTTATTTTCAATTATCAATACATATATTTTTTTTCAGTCATATTTCATTTACACTGTTACTATAATCAGTATTCATTGATATTAATTATTATTATTATTATTATTATTATTATTATTATTATTATTACTTTATTTTTTTACATAAAAGCGCTTTTAATTAAAAAAAAATTTATAATATATCATCTGATTAGAGATTACAAATATTTTCTTATTATCAAAAACACACACACACACCCACCCACACACAAATTAATCATAATCAATGCACTACAGAAAGTTATAATCATCATTAGGTATTGTTGAACATTAAAACTAAGTTAAATGGTATGTATAACAAAGAAAAAAACTTCATTTTTTCGCTTAGCCAAAATGTGTCTGATATAAAAATGATAGAGTTGATGTTCACTTCTAGACTAGAATTATCACGTTGGCCAGTTAGTTATTGAGTCCAGATAGTTGCAGGTTGGTGCCTTGGAGGACGTTAACACCTTTACATATCTGGGCAGCATCATCGACGAGAAAGGTGGATCCGATGCAGATGTGAGGGCGCGGATTGGCAAAGTAAGGGCTGCATTTCTACAGTTGAAAAATATCTGGAAC